GTACAACATGTTACTGTACTGAATACTATAGGCAGTTGTAATAATGATAAATATTTGTGTATCTAAACATAGAAAAGATACAGTAAAAACGTGGTATAATCTTATGGTACCACCATCTTACATGTACTCCATTGTTGACTGAAACATCATGTGATGCATGACTGTATAATAATGGATTGAAAGGCACAACAAATGTAACCTATATTACCTGATTTTAGTTGTTTTGCTTTTATATTAAACATAGCTAGAATATAATACATTTATACTTTTCTGTGTTTCTAAAGTGACTCAGGGAGCACTTTTATCAGCTATGGATACTGAATGAATATTGTTAGGTTTTTTGTGTTGATGATCTAAAGGACATTACATTTTAGGCTCAACTAAATGACTGCAGTCTTTATTAAGTCTTTTTGTGGTCTTGGTTCTGTCCTTTCTCTCCTCCTGTTAAAATTATAGGTTATAAATAATCAAATAATTGAGTTGATATGTTCATGATGTAGGTTTCTAAATTACTGATTAAAGTAACATGTCATAAGTAATTCCTTTAGCATATAATTGTGTAGTATTTTTGGAATTATTATAAACCTTTTACTTGGCTTTTTCAGATAATACAGAAAAGTATAAAGAAGAAAATTATAATCAACCATAACTTTTCTACCCAGGTTTAAGTTAGGAAATACATTTCCCCAAAATTAAAATTTTGTATGTGTCTGTGTGTCTTTTTATATTAATGGCATTTTCATCAAGTACTATAGATACACATATTGATTTTTAACATCTGCATAATATTGTTTACTAATGTACCAAAATTTATTTAGCCAATTTCCTCTTGATGGTTATTGAGGCTGTCTTTAGTTTTTGTTTCATTTTTAATTCAGGGAACATCCTTTTAGATAATCTTTGGATGTTAATCTGTGATTATGGATTTAGGTTAAATTTCTAGAATTTGAATTGCTTATCCAAAGTGTAGGCCGACTTTTGAGGCTTCTGATAACTGTTCTTGTATTGCCCTACAGAAGATTTGTATCATTTTACTCTTTTTATCTTCGCATAACTAGTGGTTAAAAATTGGTCTCTAATTTTTTAAAGATTATATTTGTTAAACCTTAGAAACATAGGAGAAACTGCATATCAAAATCTCTTTACGGTTACAGCAGATGTAATATGCATTGTGACTGTGTTTATTTCCAATGTTTTTATTTGTGATGTTCAACTTAATACTGAACAGTTATAAAAAAAAAGATTAAATAGGCTTTAGAGAGACTTTAGTTCCTTCATCTGGATGAGGAAAGAAAGTCGATGACTACAAGGTGAAGATTTTTTATTATGGTGTGAAGTTTTTATTTTAATGAACCTGATGACAAATTGGGCCAGATAAATAATGCTTAAATCTGAAATACACAGTAATTAACTATGCAAGCAATTGATACATTTAAGACTATTTCCTTTTAGCATTTTTCTCAGATAAATTGAATTCCTTTTTTATGCTTTTATTATTGACAAATTTATAATACCAGGACCCACACAGTTATAGTCTCTTATATACTCAAAAAGCCAAAGGTCACCTTCCAGGTACCACATTTGATGACCTCTTAACTGTGTTTCCCTTTAGCCTCTCAGTGGCAGACAAAACTGTTGTCTACACCATTCCTCCTTAAAATTCTTTTCTTCTGGCTTTTGTAATTCAGTCCTCTTTTATCCCTCTGACCACCCTCTGTCTCATTTATTCCCTAGAATTACATCTTCAACTCTTTTTTTTTCTGCTTTTGCTATGTTTTTTCTTTGGAAAATTTTATCCATACTTATAACTTCTACCATTACTACCAGCTGATGATCCTTAATTCTGAGTTTTTAATTTGAGAACTCCATTTCCTTCTAAACTCGCAGATCTGTTGGTCTTTCTTTTTTGACCAGATGTAGGAAAGAGCAGGGTCCTTCACTGGTCCTTCTTTTCTAGTGTCATCTTTTGGAAAACAGGCCTAATTGTGTCACCAATCTGATACAGAAATCATCTCAGTATTCCCAGGAGCTAGAATACTTATCAAGGCATTACTCATCTGATCTTACAGCCATATTTACCTCTTGCATGCCTAACTCTGGCATCCTTCATTCTCACTATTCCCAAATATTATGTATGCTTTAATAGCTCTCAACCTATCCTCATGATGCTCCCTATGTCTGGAATCCCACTCAAGCACACACCTCAGTCTGTCAAGATCTTATTTATCCAGGGTCCAGCTCAAATATCAATTCCTAAAATCCATCTATGAGCTCCTTTACTGTATTAGTCAGGTTTCTCTAGAGGGACACAACTAATAGGATATATATATATATATATATATATATATATATATATATATACACACACATATATATATGAGTTAATTAAGTATTAACTCATAAGATCACAAGGTCCCTGCAAGCCGAGGAGCAAGGAGAGCCAGTCCAAGTCCAAAATTGAAGTACTTAGAGTCCGATGCTTGAGGGCAGGAAGTATCCAGCATAGGAGAAGATGTAGGCTGGGAGGCTAGGCTAGTCTAGTCTTTTCACTTTTTTTCAGCCTGCTTTATGTTCTAGCTGTGCTGGCAGCTGATTAGATGATACTCACCCAGATTAAGGTGGGTCTGCCTTTTCCATCCCACTGACTGAAATATTAATCTTCAGCAACACCCACACGGATAACACCCAAGATCAATACTTCGCATCCTTCAATCCAGTCAAGTTGACACTTAGTATTAACCATCATACCTACCTTGTGTTTTTAGCTTAATTTCAAACCGATAGGTTTTCTTATTGTCATGCATTATTTTTTTTTAATTATAGCAGTCTATAGGCTCTTTTTCTGAAGTATGAACTCTTCGAAGGAAAGGAAAGGATCTTACTTCTTTATAGATTTAGTACCCAGCGTAACATCTTGAATTTTGTACTCAGTGTATGTTTGAATTGAGCAGTGGTAATTCTGTCTCACCTAATGTTTCTGCTTGTTCAATAAAAGATCTGTTAATATTTAGGAGAGGGATCTAACTCGTCTAGCAGATTAGAGGATGATAGCTAACACAAGAAGACAGCATAGAGGAATTTGGAGAAAAAGTGATCTAAGATTTAAGTCATGAAAGAGGAAGGTGTAAGAAGGAGATTGTGAGTGTGAGAGAAAGAATTCGAAGAAAAATGAGAATTGGTAAGTGTAAACTGCTTTAAGAACTGAATAGGGAAAGTTATATGCCAGAATTTAGCATTTCAGGATTAACTAGGACTGTAGTTAGAGGTGGTTGACACCATTAAAAACAAGTTCATCTGAATTTGTAGTGTGATCCAAAGAAAGGGAAAACTGGTAAGCAGAATACCTGGATTCTCTCCTTCCCCCTACTTAGCTGTGATGACTTTAGCAAGTTAGTCTCTGTGTCAGCTTCCTCATATGTCAACTGGGGGATACTTATCTGATTGATGTATCTAGCTCATAGGTGATCCAGAAGATGAAATAATGGACATGGACTAAAAATGGAAACTGGTAGAAGGCTTTACTATTCTATGTCATTGCTATTTTTAATCCTAAATATATTAGCATTGTTGTTGCACTTTCCAATTCTCGTTACTATCAGCTTAGACAAATTGTCTTCTACAATTGTATTTTTAAATGGTTACCTTTTTTTTCCCCCTTTCAATTCCCTCATTTCACAGATTTTAAAATTGGGGTGCAGAGTGACTTGCTCAAAAGTTTTATTACTGTGACAATTCCATGAATCCTGACTTGTAATCAAGTGACTATTTAAGTCTACCCCAATACAGGAAAGTGTGAAAGAAAAAATAGAAAGGGAGAGAGGGGAGACAGTCGTTACTGCTAATATTAATATAATAGAATTTGGGGTCCTTTCTCTGAGTTGGAGGTGAGTAGAGAAAGGAAGTATTTGTAAGATAAAAAGAGTGTAGTGGCCAAGAGAAAGCTTCCCCTTTGTCCTCTGATGGTTCCATGTAAATAACTGACAAAAGGCAGATTAATAGGAGAAAAGACATACAAAATTTTATTTTAATGTGCATAGCATGGACAAATTGCAGGAGAATGATTATCTCCCTATCTTTTTTTTTTTTTTTTTTTTTTTCCTTTTTTTGAGACAGAGTCTCACCCTGTTGCCCAGGCTGGAGTACCATGGAACAATCTCGGCTGACTGCAGCCTCCATCTCCTGGGTTTACGTGATTCTCCTGCTTCAGCCTCCCAAGTAGCTGGGATTGCAGGCGTGCACCACCACGCCCAGCTAATTTTTGTACTTTTAGTAGAGATGGGGTTTCGCCGTGTTGGCAAGGCTGGTCTCAACTCCTGACCTCAGGTGGTTTGTCTTCCTTGGCCTCCCAAAGTGCTGGGATTACAGGCGTAAACCACCACGCTTAGCCTCCTATCTTTTAATTAATAATAAAAATGATAAAAGGATTAGGTTTCTAATTTTGTATTAAATTAGTTATTTTAAACTCAAATGAGATTGGAGTTTGAATTTGTTTTAGCATATTTTTGGTTATTTTAATTATTTTAACCATAATATTGGAAAAAGTAAAATTGTGTCTATTCTTATTATTTTAAGTAATGATAGATGTTAAAGAAAGAAATATTTTTCCACCTTATAGTTCTCTTCAAAATTTTTGTGTTAAGAGGAAAAATATAACAAGAGTTTCTCACTTAACATATGTATATTGGTTAGTCCGGTCCAGACTTTAGCATAACAAATTATTAGAAGTGTTACATCTTGTAAAATAGGGGACTCCTTTAAATTAATTTATTCTCAAATTCTATAAGTAGTTTTATTTTGAAAATATTAAGATGAGGTGGGATTATATTAAATAATAAGATTGAGATTCATAGTTATTAATATAGTAAAATATCTACTTAAGTTAAAATGTGTTTGAATTACATTTTACAAACTAAAATTGAGCGATTTGAATGTTATTTTCTATTTTATGCATTATCATCCCTCATGCATTTTTTGTTTTTGTTACTCCTTTTCTTTGACAGCCAGAAATCACTGTGGAAAATCTTCCCAGTTATTTCAGACTTCAGAAACCATTGTTGATTTTGTTCAGTGATGGCAGCGTAAATCCTCAATATAAAAATGCAATATTGACACTGGTAAAGCAGAAATACTTGGATTCATTTACTCCTTGCTGGTTAAATCTGTAAGTATGTTTTTATTTTTCAATATGTAAGAGGTAAAGAAAGTGTAATAATTATTACATTTTCATTAGGAAACGAAACTCTCTATACCTTTGGAGTTAATTTTATGGAATCAAATATGTTGTCATATTTTAGTAACTAAATTCCCCCAAACGAGGTCCAAGATGACCTTATTTTAGATTGAATTTTATTCTACGGTAAAATTTTAAAAGCAATAATTGTTCTGACTTTTAAAAATAATTGATGCCCATTCAGAAAATTTGGCAAATACAGAAAGTGAACATTGTGATATTTTGGCTTTTTCCTTCAGTTCCTTTTTCTGTACTTCTGTATTTTTAAAGTTCAGACAGATTTCAGTACGTCCATCAGCAATATTTCCTAGTATGTTTTCTAGATGTATGGATTGTGTTACATTTGATGTCTGTGAACAAAATTCACAAATAATACACTGTTCCTTGTTCAGAATCATCAGATGAAAGACATATTTTATTCTTTAAACTCATTTGAAAAATAATAGAAATGGGGCAGTGTACATTTTTGCTGTGAAGTGCATTCTGCTTGAGGCAAAATTTTCCCAGATAATTATCATATAGATATCTAAGAGTAAAATAATACTTTATAAAATGTAGAATGTGTTCCACTAGGAAAACTAAGTATCTTTAACTTAGAGGTTTTTTTTATGAACATAATTATTTTTACTTCTTTAATTTGAAATTATTGCCTTCTTTTTCCTGAGAAAAGGCATGATTTTATGGAAAAGAAGCATTTATAAAAGTAAGTATCTCGTTATCTTCTAGTTATGTAATCATTTAATTTTTGAGCTGACATACGATCAGATACTTGGCCAAATGTTGGAAGGAAACTGTTGATTGTGTCAAGCCTAAATTGACAAGCCTTGGGGCTATGCCTGCTTTTTGTTAAAATTGTCATGGGCTGCCACTTTTCTCCTAAGTGCAACGAAGTGCCCATGTTAAAAAGAAACTTTTAAAGAATCCAGTAACATAGTTGTAGAACTCTTGGTTTTTAGGACATCTTTTCGTAAAGTGAACTTACTGGAATGATACTACCTAAAAGTTTAATGTTCTACAAACTACTGTTTTCATTTTTTTGTTGTAGAAAGAAACATTAACATGTTCAATTGTTCCCTTTTTCAGAAAGAATACTCCAGTGGGGAGAGGAATCTTGCGGGCATATTTTGATCCTCTGCCTCCTCTTCCTCTTATTGTTTTGGTGAATCTGCATTCAGGTGGCCAAGTATTTGCATTTCCTTCAGACCAGGCTATAATTGAAGAAAACCTTGTATTGTGGCTGAAGAAATTAGAAGCAGGGCTAGAAAATCCTATCAGTAAGTGTTCTGTTTTGTTTAATAGACATAGTTCTGCATTTTGTTCCATAAAGTTTAAACTCTAAATATACCTAAAGAATGGTAAGATGAGTTATTAAAATGCTGGTAGCATCGTCCATGTGGACAGTCTCCGATTGGGAGGCCAAAGGTGCAAGGCTTCAGTGAGCAGCTGCCCTATGAAGGCCTGTTTCTTGAATTTTAACATTAAGTCCATGTTGCTTGCATAGATCACCAGTGTATTCAAACATAGGATTTTGGTAATTTATGCCATTAAAAGAATTGTTACAGTGGGAGCTTTGGCCTATGAAAGCATAAGTCTTTAATCTATTTTTATAAAATTTAAAATTATAGAGTTCAGAAGATATTTCTTGTGTAGTTTTTTCATATGCATGCCATTTTTTCTTTTTATAACTGTAAGCAAATATGTTGTTTTATGGAAAATGACAATATTTTACAAATAGTAGATTATTATATGAAATTCTGGTTCTAGTACAGGCATACCTTAGAGATATTGTGGGTTCAGTTTGAGACCACCACAATAAGGTGAATATTGAAATAAAGCAAATCATACAAGTTTTTTTGGTTTCTGAGTGTATACAAAAGTAATGTTTACACTATGCTGTAGTCTATTAAATGCATAATAGCATTATGTCTAAAAAATGTTTTTACCTTAATTTTAAAATATTGCTTAAAATTGCTAATAATTATCTAAGCCTTCAGGGAATTCTAACGTTTTGGCTGATGAAGGAGGGTCTTGTCTCCACAGCCAAACTGACAAGTGGTGGTTGCTGAACTGCTGAAGATTGGGCTGTGGCAGTTCCTTACAATCAGACAACAATGCGGGGAGAGGCGGAGGGCGGCCCCCGCACAGGCAAAGGCTGAGGGGCCGGGTCGCGGCAGTGCAGTTCTTGCCGGGAGCCGAGCCCAGCGGAGCGCCCGCCGCTGACGGGCGCTGCGTTTGCGCCCTGGCCGGCCTCAACTCCCTGGAGGCGGTGAAACGCAAGATCCAGGCCCTGCAGCAGCAGGCGGACTAGGCGGAAGACCGTGCGCAGGGCCTGCGGTGGGAGCTGAATGGAGAGCGCGAACGGCGCGAGAAAGCTGAAGGTGATGTGGCCGCCTTTAACCGACGCATCCAGCTCATTGAGGAGGAGCTGGACAGGGCTCAGGAACCTCTGGCCACAGCCTTGCAGAAGCTGGAGGAGGCGGAAAAGGCTGCAGCTGAGAGTGAGAGAGGAATGAAGGTGACAGAAAACCGGGCCATGAAGGATGAGAAGATGGAGATTCAGGAGATGCAGCTCAAAGAGGCCAAGCACATTGAGGAAGAGGCTGACCGCAAATACGAGGAGATAGCTCATAAGCTGGTCATCCTGGAGGGTGAGCTGGAGAGGGCAGAGGAGCGTGCGGAGGTGTCTGAACTAAAATGTGATGACCTGGAAGAAGAACTCAAGAATATTACTAACAATCTGAAGTTGCTGGAGGCTGCATCTGAAAAGTATTCTGAAAAAGAAGACAAATATGAAGAGGAAATTAAACTTCTGTCTGACAAAGTCAAAGAGGCTGAGACCCGTGCTGAATTTGCAGAGAGTGGTGGCAAAACTGGAAAAGACCGTTGATGACCTGGAAGAGAAACTTGCCCAGGCCAAAGAAGAGAATGTGGGCTTGCGTTAGACACTGAATCAGACACTAAATGAATTTAACTGTATATAATCAAAACAGAAGAGTCTTGTTTCAACAGAAACTCCGGAGCTCCGTGGGTCTTTCTCGTCCCTTGTAAGAAGTTCCTTTTGTTAGTGCCATCTTCGCTTTGCTGGAAATGTCAAGCAAATTATGACTACATGACCAAATATTTTGTATCGGAGAAGCTTTGAGCACCAGTTAAATCTCATTCCTTTCCTTTTTATTTTTCCACCCCAAATGGCACCAGCATTTTCAGCGCTCTTATTTTTTCCTTAAGTTGCATTTATTCCTAAGGTAGGCAGGGTATTTCCTAGTAGGCATACTTTCGTAAGACGGAGGGCATTTGGTTTCTGGGAGAATAGGCAGCCTTACACTTTGAAGAACACAAACCCCAATATCTAGTGGATCTATTTAAAATGCTGAAGAACATAACTTTTTGGGTCAACCGTTAGTCGAACTATAGGAGAGACCAGGGACCATCACATAGGTGGGGATTTTCCATCCAGAGCTAATAAAAGGGCGAGGTGGCGGGGGTGTATTGTGGGAAGTCATAACCCATGGATAGATTAACCTAAGAGTCCTGGCCCTTCTCCACACTCCACCATCATCCTCTCAAACAGTCAACATAGAAAGAATGCTTGGGAAATGGTTGTAATTACCTACATATTTTCTGGTTAGTTCCTTGATGTGATGTTCTGCATATTTCCTTCATTCTAAAGTTGTTCTCTGGCCGGGTGTGGTAGTTCTCGCCTGTAATCCGAACACTTTGGGAGGCCAAGGCAGGCAGATCACTTGAGGTCAGGAGTTCAAGACCAATCTGGCCAACCTGGCGAAACCCCGTCACTACTAAAATTACAAAAATTATGATGGCGCCTGCCTGTAGTCTCAGCTACTCCAGGAGGCTGAGGCAGGAGGATTCCTTGAACCCAGAAAGTGGAGGTTGCAGTGAGCCGAGATCACCGCACTGCATTCCAGTCCAGGCAACAGAGTGAGACTCCATCTCAAGAAAAATAAAATAAAAGTTGTTCTTTGAGGAGCAAATGTCTCATTCCAATAATGACCCATCCACTCAGCAGGAATATGGTGGAGTTCAGTCCAATTCAGGTCAACCATATCCAAAAGACTTCAAGTCGTTAATAAGTTGAGCAGAAGAGTTTTTTTTCTCTCTCTCTCTCAGCAGAAAGGGCCTCTCTGGCAGCAGAGATTAAAAATTGGCTCAACTTCATTTCCGTACTTCAGGGAATAGCAAATTGAAGATTTACTTATTTAGGACTTGAATTTCTTCTTTGGGACCAAGTTAATAAAAGACCAAGAAACTCCTGATTAAACTGGATAATGGAGAATTTTGTAGACAGGGCTGCACACATTGGCTTTGTGTTTACTTCTGTTTTCTCAGTTAACATCTCAGAGCTGGAACATTCCACATTCCCCAGCAGTGTATCAGGGCCAACTAAAATTCACAATTCTGACTAAAAATCACCCTGCTTCTGGCTTATTTGAATCCTCTATCCACCCCGTCCCACCACCCCATCCCACCACCCCACTCCTATTTATTCAGGACCACACTACTCGGGAAATACACTGACAAATTGTGCAATTGAATGAAATCCACACTTTTCTTTAGATTCTTGCAACTGTATCATATGTAATAGTATCACTTTTCTACATTTGGTCAAATAAATTTTTACATAAACTACAAAAAAACCCAACAAGAATGAAGTTTGTAGCATTAACCTTTTTTCACAAAAGGTTTCTCTGTAGTATATGATATTATTTGATAGCATTTTATTCACAGTAGAACCTCTTTCAAAATTGAAGTAAATTCTTTGAAATCCTGCTGCCGCTTTATCGACTAAGTTTATGGAATGTTCTAAATCCATGGCTGTCATTTCAACAATGTTCATAGCATTTTCACCAGTAGTTTCCAACTCAGGAAACCAGTTTCTTTGCTTACTCATGAGAAGCAACTTCTCATCAGTTCAAGTTTCATCATAAGGTTGCAGCAATTCAGTTATACCTTCAGGTACCACTTCTTATTATAGTTCTCTTGCTATTTATACTCCATCTGCAGCTACTTTCTCCACTGAAGTCTTGAGGCCCCCAAAGTATACAAGACTTCCTTTTCCTCTGCATCCTTGTCAGCATTTGTTATTGCCTTTGTTTTTGATAAAAGCCATTTTAACTGGGGTGAGATGATACCTCATTGTAGGTTTGATTTGCTTTACTCTGATGATCAGAGAAATACCTATTTTCAGAAATACCTGTTTTCCATTTGAATGTCTTCTTTTGAGAAGTGTCTTTTCAGATCTTTTGCCCATTTTAAAATCAGATTATTTTTGAGCTCCCTATATTCTCTGGTTATTAATCCCTTGTCAGACAGGTAGTTTGCAAATATTTTCTTCTATTCTGTGGGTTATCTCTTCACATTGTTGATTGTTGATTGTTTCCTTTGCTGTGAAGAAGCTTTGTTTTTAACTTGATGTGATCCCATTTGTCTGTTTTCGCTTTGGTTGCTTGTGCTTGTAGGGTATTAGGAAATCTTTGCCCACTCCAATGTCCTGGAGAATTTCTGTAATGTTTTAGTCTAATAATTTCTTCTGGTAATTTAAGTTTTTACATTTAAGTATTTCATATCTTTTGAGTTAAGAGTGAGTTAAGGGTCCAGTTTCATATGCATGTCAATATCCAGTTTTCCCAGCACCATTTATGGAAGAGACTGCCCTTTCCCTGTTATATGACCATGGTAGCTTTGTCAAAGATCAGTTGACAGCAAATGTCTGGATTTATTTCTGGTCTCCCTGTTCTGTTCCGTTGGTCTTTATGCCAGTATCATGCTGGTTTGATTACTATAGCTTTGAAGTATTTTGTACTCAGGTAATATGATGCCTCCAGTGTTGTTCTTTTAGCTCAAGATTGCTTTGGCTATTCAGGTCTTTCATGCTTTCATATGAGTTTTAGGATTCTTTTTTTCTATTTCTGTGAAAAATGTCACTGGAATTTTGATAGGAATTACATTGAATCTGTGGATCACTTTGAGTAGTATAGGCATTTTAACAGAATTCCAATTCATGAACACGGGATATCTTTCCATTTATTTTTGCTTTCAGTTTTTTTTTCATCAGTGCATTACAATGCTTATTCCTAAGCATTTTATTTTTTGATGCTATTGTAAATGGGTTTGGTTTTTTTTATTTCTTTTTAAGATAGTTTGTTGTTAGTGTATAGAAATGCTAGTTATTTTTGTATGTTTATTTTCTATGCTGCAACTTTACTAAATTTGTTGATTAGTTCTAACAGGTTTTTTTGTGGAGTCTTCAGGGGTT